CATTTTACTGGATATCATTAGTTTAGTAATGTAGTTTTAGGCTTATCTTTAAAGAACAATTAACAGATTGACTTGTTTTAAAATGTAATAAATAAAAATAAAAGAGGATGATCTAAAATTTAACAGATGTCTTTGAACAACATCCTTTTCTCACTCTACAGCTATAGACAAAAGTACATTAAGTTAGATAAAAGTAAAGCAGGAATCCATATTAACTTTATTTGATAAAAACTATAATAAATCGGATTCATATCTAACATTTATTTAAATTCTTAGTAAAACATGACAGTAGATACAAAGCATTCATATGAATGTTCTTAGATAACAATGATGGTTACAGATTGAACATATAACTATGGCTCCTGCTTAATTATAGCATAGAGAGGAAAATACTGACCTGCAGACCAGATAAACTTTGGTTTACTGTAAGCAGTGAAATCTGCTGGATCTGCTCTTCCTGCTCTGCACATATATCCTGCTGTGTGATTTTGTCCATGAAGGATGTAGGAGTTCAGTTCAGTTCTGTTGGTGATGTTAGGCAGCAGATCAAAGCTGTAGGATCTGGATGATAAATCAGGAACAGCTTTATACCAGAAGAACCTCCATCCTGCAGACTGAGGTTTAACCTCACAGCTCAGAGTCACTGAGGCTCCAGGACTCAGCCATGATGGAGACACAGAGAGGACAGGGCGAAGGTAACCTGTTGGCAGTGGTGTCAAAAGTAAACACATTTGTTACTTAAATAGAAGTATAGATACTGCAGTTCAAAAACAACTTTTACATCAACAACTTCTCAGGAGCATTTCTTTCTTATGTGGAGTCTCACCTTGCGTTTTTTTTTACCTCTGATTTTGTGATTTTTTTTTTAGTTTCTTCTTTTTTTCTGCAGGATTTCAACTTAAAAGTTGAAGTATCAACTTGACCTCTTTACTCAAGTAAAAGTGAAAAAGTATATTCTTCAAAACAACTTAAAGCATAGAAGTATAAAGTAACCTTTAAAAAACAGCCAGATGCCACTATATAAATTGAAAGCTCAATTTTTCGACTATTTCTAAAATTTTCTTTGAGATAGGGCCAAGGATGAGGGAGGTCTTGTTGATCTCCGTCTCCATTTCCCGATATGCTCTCACCTGTGTCCGACATTTCAGACATTTCAAAATCTTTTTCTGATTCTGACATTGTAGCATGGCATAGACAATTCAC